AAGCCTACACACATATACCTTCCCCTTAAGGGCAGCACATCTCAAAATTCCCTTTTTAATCATCTCAGGTCTTTCTAATAGAGGATAGCCTGGGTCATTCCTCTTACTTTCACATAAGTCATTTTTGCCTCCAATTAAATCCCTTTAAAAAGGGAAATAAGAGTCTCCCTGGAACAATGTGCTCCTGCCTTTCACACTCCGGAGTGTTCACATCAGAAGGCCAAACTAAAACAATGAAATTCTAGATAATAATTTGATTGTTACTCAGAGCAGATGTTACTATATAAAAAGGCACAGTTCACACCACATACATCTATAGGCAACTTATACCTATACACATATACTGCAGGTGTGAGTTGCTTAATATGTAAAACAATCTCACAGCCCCAAATACACAGAATACAAGAAAGATTACAAGAGTGTATTTTCTAATCCTTTCCTAGATTCAGTCTAATGTATGATGTAATATCATGATGTCAAAAAAAAAGAGATTTATTCTTCTGAGGTGGCACAAAACGTGTTTGAAATGCAACTAAGCCAGCTGAACCCTCTATTCATGGCCATATTGCGCCACGCGTTTTAAAGCAGGAAGCGCTGCTTAAAAACTATGGGTCTCAATGGTAAGCGAGAAGATGCAGATTCCCCAGAACTGCACGTTTTGGGGCCGTTCCTGGGGGGGGGGCTGGGGGTTTGGGACATGCCCCCCTCCAGTCCCGCCCCTTTACCCAAGGCGCCTTTCCTTAGCTAGGTCGGGAGCCGGCAAAGTGGGGCGGGGTCGGTGGGCCCCTGCCACCCCAGCCCCGCGTCCCCTGAAGCGGGAGGCGGAGACGCCCAAAGCGCGGAGCCCAAGTCGACTGCCCTAAACCACAGGACGGGACGGGCCAAAAATTACGTAACTGGCTTCTCCAAAATCCGGGGGGTGGGGAGGGACCCGCCAGAGCCAAGCAGCAAGGTGCACGACCAGCGAAGCAAAGGAAATGCAGCGCAGACTAGAGAGAGCCGGCGAGCAAGCAGGGACCCCAGCCGAGCGGGAGAGAAGCGAAGCTGCCCATTCATGCAGCTGGCATGCTCCCCAGCAGAGTCTGCCCCCCAACGCTAGACCCTGCAGGGAGCGGATCCCTCCCCGCGAGCTCTGTCACACGCAGCCAAACGGGGGTTAAGCCGCGCACCACCCGCTGCAAACCGAGTAACAGAGACGCGTGACAACACCCTGCTCTAAAACGCAGCGACCCCAAACAGCAGAGCCCCAGACAAAAGCGGCAGGTGCACCCAGGCGCAGAGTCTGCCCCCCAACGCTAGACCCTGCAGGGAGCGGATCCCTCCCCGCGAGCTCTGTCACACGCAGCCAAACGGGGGTTAAGCCGCGCACCACCCGCTGCAAACCGAGTAACAGAGACGCGTGACAACACCCTGCTCTAAAACGCAGCGACCCCAAACAGCAGAGCCCCAGACAAAAGCGGCAGGTGCACCCAGGCTAGAAATGTGCATTGCAGCGTTCCCGGGAAAGCGTGGCGGGCCCCCCCAGCACCGGCCGGGCTGGCAGTGGCAGGAGGCACTGCTGGTTTGGTAGATTAAAAGGCTTACCGGTTTCTCGGTGGTTTGGAAGCGCGTCCACCCCAAGCCTACGTCTGCTGGCTGGTTGTGAAGGACGTGCTGGGTTTCAGCTCAAAGCGCTCCGATCAGCAATGTCCCCCGCCCTGCTTGACTGCAAGTGTGGTCGCAAAGAGCAGCTTGGATGCCTTTTGTTAGGTCTCTTCTGGCCCTCCGGCTGGATGGTGCTGCGGGTGAGGTTGGGCGGCAGCTGCTTCGCCTTTCTTCTACTGTCTGCTGCTGATTGCAGCGATTTGCATTAGCCCGTCCCTCATTGAGATGCTGCTCTTCACACCAGCCTCTCGCCGGCTGTCTCTCCAGAGGGCGGCGCCGCGCCACAGCCTCCCTCCTTGCGCCGGGGGGAATTGGCACTGACGCTCCGGGCTGGCTCTCCGCGGATACTCCGAACCGAACCCTCCAGCAGCGTTCTCCCCCTGTGCACGCCCTGGCGAGGAGAAAGGGGCGCTGCTTCGCTTGGCTAGTGCCTCTTCGTTCGTGTGAACCCGAAATGGAGTGCGGGGAGGGGGAGGAGAGAGGCCCCTATCGGGAAAGCCAGTTAAAACGTGAAATAGCCCCAGCTCCGTTATTTTTCATTGCACCACAAATCCCTGTCTCTCCTCTCCCCTTTGCCCATCGATCTCCCTGCTTCTTTGCTTAAGCTTTTATATAGGCCGCGGAACGCCCAGGGATCTGTTCCGATGGTGGCGCGCCGCAGTAAATTTAAGGATGTCTTCTAATCTGAGCCAGGTCCCCTTCCTATGGGGTTCGTGAATCCCTCCATTTGGTTTCAGATAATTAAGCAAACGTGCCAGCCTTGGGAGGCTGCAGGGAGGGAAGCCAGATCCTCCATGCTATTGGCTCTGAGGGAAGTCACTTTGAAGTGCTTTGAGATCCTCAGTATATGTCTGCATCTGAAGTGCAAAATGGAGTAGTATAAAGCTGGTTGGAAAATGAGACATAATTGTCACCACAAAATTTAATCCTGGTACTTTGTGTTGAAATTTGATTTTTTTTTTACCAGTTCTCTGGCTGATCAAAAATGGGATGAAATATTTATGACCATTTTCATTTAAAATGTGTTTTTCATCAAAGTTCAGATGAAAAAATGTCAGAATTGTGACCTTTGAAACCTTAACCAATAATAATTAATAGGGAGGAAGAAGCTTAGTCAAGAAGGGCTTGCAGAAATTGGAAAATGCAGGATTGCACCCAACAGTATATTCTCCAGTACTGCTTTGTGACAGCAGCCCACATTAGTTTAACTATCTCAGATTGGTGACTTCCATCATTTCTCAAGTGAGACTTTTCTACAGTTTTATAGCTCCAACTATAAAAGACATTTTCTGAATAGTTTAATAGAAAATGTGTTACACTTCAGCCCATTACTTCTCCTGCCTGCTTGTACTCACATACAGGCAGTCCCCGGGTTACGTACAAGATAGGGACTGTAGGTTTGTTCTTAAGTTGAATCTGTATGTAAGTCGGAACTGGCGTCCAGATTCAGACACTGCTGAAACTGACCGCCAGTTCTGACTTACATACAGAATCAACTTAAGAACCCCAGGCGTCCCCAAGTCAGCTGCTGCTGAAACTGATCAGCAGCTGATTCCAGGAAGCCCGGGGCAGAGCAACTCTGCCTGGGGCTTCCTGTAGTCAGCGCTGGTCAGTTTCAGCAGAAGCTGACTTGGGGACGCCTGGGGCAGAGCAGCTGGGGTGCT